AAGATTTGATATCAACAAAATTGGCGCCAAGCTAAACTCATCAAAACTTTATATATTATTCGTAAAAAAGATTTAATATCAACAATTGGCGCCAAGTTAAATTCCATGTAATTCGAATACCAAATTAAATAAATAATATTAACTTTAATGATATACATATATATCATTCCTATAAAAGACTTAATATCAAGAACTGGCTCCAAGTTAAATCCCACTTCTTTATACCATGCCAAATTAAATAAATAATGAATATTAATCTAATGGTATGTATTATTTGTACGAACGATTTGATATCAACAACTGTGGTGCCAAGTTAAATTCTACTATCAAAATGAAAAGTAAAACTCAAGTGATACTATCTTTAATTTTTATGCAACGAAACCTAAGTATACGTATACTTATTGAAGAATCTTCCTATTCCAATCCAAATAGTTTAAATTCCTCTTAAATGAAATTATTATATCACATTTCATTCAAAGACATTTCCTCTTCCAACAAAAGTAGTGGTTATTTAATTTTCCTTCAAAACATTATACAAAATATTATCACAAAATTGCGTTACCTTGCTCAATTTAAGTGTTACAACAAAAAATTAAAAAATTTACCGTATAAAATGAAAAAATTTAATTTAAATAAAAAAATTTTTCATGCAAAAACACTTGGCGCTGCTAGATAGAGTAAGAAAAACTATAAGAATAATTTAAAATTCGAATGGTAATTAATAAAAATAAATAATAAAAGTAAAGTACGACTAAAAAAGGGCAATTAAGAGTCTTAAACGCAGTAATTAGTGCGTGAACCAAAAGTATAGATATATTTCTAGTTAATATTCCATATGTAGTATACAAATCTGAACGTTTCGGCTGTCTTCAAGCCATCTTCAGCAGTCTCCATTAACAATAAATTAATCAGTTCGCAATAATGAAGCCATGGGATGCAGTAAGTAAGTCTCTCAGATTGCCACGTTTGGAGAGTATGTAACCGTCAGTTAGCTGATTAACTAAATGCGAGCTGTGTCAAGAATGAAATCATTAACATACAGTCGTTAAAAACGTAATAACGGTTTCATAAGAAGACTTACCCCTGCACACCATAACCACCAACATTATAAATTAAAATAATTTAAAAATATTAATAAATTAGAAATATCCGTATTCTTCGTAAGAAAATAACGTTCGCAGTGTCACAAACAAAGTCAAGTTATGTAAAAGGACACTAAATGAAAATATTAAGAAAGGAAACAATATTGTTAAAAGTCCTCGAATTGAATACAGTACAGATAATCGCATGAGAATAGTTACAAGAAACAAACATTACATAAAAATCAAAATTTATTAATTATGCTCGTATATGCATGGTGTAAGAACTCAGTATCTGATTTCAGATTTAAGCCATTATCTTGCATCTTAATATTAAGCATTTCAGATACCATCTTTTTCCCATAATATCTCTCATCATCCAAAATCTCCGTATTCAACCAATCAAATTCATGTTGGAATTGTAATCTATGTTCAGAAATCACAGACAAATTCCCGCTCTTCTTATTAATGTCATTTTTATGTTCGTTATTTCTCGTTTTTAATTTACGGCTAGTCTGTCCGACATAAGAAGCATTGCAATCTTTACATTTGATCTTATAAACAACATTCTTCCTAGATTTGTGAGGAAGAACATCCTTTTGTGCTTTTATAATACCGTCCATTTTATTTAAGCTAAAGAACGACAATTTAACATCAAGATTTTTAATAATGCTCTTAAATTTTTTGTAAACCCAAGGTAGAAAAGGAATGGTAACCCATGACGAATTGAAGTATCAGTTTTCGGTTTATCTGTTTGTCTTAAAGTCCTACGTTTAAAAAGGGATCTTAATCTTAAATTGATCGTGTCAAAAATAAAATCAACAGGATAATCATTGTCTAAAGAAGTTATAAAAGCACAAAAGGATGTTCTTCCTCACGAATCTAGGAAGAATGTTGTTTATATAAGATCAAATGTAAAGATTGCAATGCTTCTTATGTCGGACAGACTAGCCGTAAATTAAAGACGAGAATTAACGAACATAAAAATGACATTAATAAGAAGAGCGGGAATTTGTCTGTGATTTCTGAACACAGATTACAATTCCAACATGAATTTGATTGGTTGAATACGGAGATTTTGGATGATGAGAGATATTATGGGAAAAAGATGGTATCTGAAATGCTTAATATTAAGATGCAAGATAATGGCTTAAATCTGAAATCAGATACTGAGTTCTTACACCATGCATATACGAGCATAATTAATAAATTTTGATTTTTATGTAATGTTTGTTTCTTGTAACTATTCTCATGCGATTATCTGTACTGTATTCAATTCGAGGACTTTTAACAATATTGTTTCCTTTCTTAATATTTTCATTTAGTGTCCTTTTACATAACTTGACTTTGTTTGTGACACTGCGAACGTTATTTTCTTACGAAGAATACGGATATTTCTAATTTATTAATATTTTTAAATTATTTTAATTTATAATGTTGGTGGTTATGGTGTGCAGGGGTAAGTCTTCTTATGAAACCGTTATTACGTTTTTAACGACTGTATGTTAATGATTTCATTCTTGACACAGCTCGCATTTAGTTAATCAGCTAACTGACGGTTACATACTCTCCAAACGTGGCAATCTGAGAGACTTACTTACTGCATCCCATGGCTTCATTATTGCGAACTGATTAATTTATTGTTAATGGAGACTGCTGAAGATGGCTTGAAGACAGCCGAAACGTTCAGATTTGTATACTACATATGGAATATTAACTAGAAATATATCTATACTTTTGGTTCACGCACTAATTACTGCGTTTAAGACTCTTAATTGCCCTTTTTTAGTCGTACTTTATTTGATTATATTTCAAGAGCCAATTAGAATTTTTTAATTTGTTAAATAATAAAAGATAATTGTATATAATTTAAAAGTAATAATAATTATTTTAATATTGGGTATGGGAATAAGTTTTCGCCCTTTTTGAAAAGAAAAAGATGTGTTTATTTAAACAAATTTATATAAGTGAGTTTATTCAAAGTATGCTCCTTCGGAAGCGACAACTTTCTCCCACTTTTCCGGTAATAAACGGATTCCTCGAATGAAAAAATCTGATTCTTTTGAAGCGATCCATTCATCAAGCCATTTTTTGATATCTTCATAAGAATTGAATCGTTCTCCAGAAAGGGCCGACTGCATGGATCGGAACAAATGGAAATCTGAAGGAGCAATGTCCGGTGAATACGGCGGGTGGGGCAGAATTTCCCACTTTACTCCTTCCAAGTATTTCTTGACCGGTTTTGCAACGTGTGGCCTAGCGTTGTCATGTAACAGAATCTGCTTGTTGTGCCTATTGTCCCATTCTGGTCGTTTTTCTTTCAAAGCTTGGTTTAAACGTATCAGTTGTAGTCAATAACGATCGCTAGTGATGGTTTCGCGGACGGTTTGAGCAGCTCATAATATATAACACCTCTCTGATCCCACCAGATGGACAACATAATCGTCGAAGCATGGATATTTCGTTTTGGCGTTGATGGACCTGGTTCACCTGGCATCACCCATGCTTTCAAGCGTTTAGGGTTATCGTAGTAGATCCATTTTTCATCGCAATTACGATACGATGTAGAAAACCCTTCCTTTGTTGTCGTTGACGAAGCATCTCGCAGATGACCAAACGTCTTTCCATGTCTCTCTTTCAATTTGTATGGCACCCAATTTTCTTCTTTTTGCACTATTCCCATTGCGTGTAGACGTTTTCCAACAGTGGATCTATCAACATTTAACTCTTTTGACAACCTATCAAGCGTTAAACATGAATCTTCTTCGAGTAATGCTTGCAATTCTGCATCTTCAAACTTTTTCGGTGCCATGCACCTTCGCGTTCTTTGTCACGCACGTCAAAATCACCACTGTTGAATCGCCGAATCCATTCTTTACAACTGGTTTTCGATGGAGCATGCTCACCGTAAACATCTACGAGCAAACGATGTGATTCTGCAGCACTTTTCTTTAAAATAAAATAATGGAGTAAAATTTCCCGCAAATGTTGCTTTTTTGGAATAAATTCCGACATCTTCAACGCAAAAAATGTTATTCTTTTTTACGCTTCGAACGAATGGCAACTATTAGGCTCAAGAGTTTGAACACAAACCTTTCAAACACATGTGTTGCCGTTCTATCAAACACACAAGCAATGCTATAATACTAACGATATCTTTCTACAATGGGCGGAAAATTATTCCCATACCCAATATATATAATTGTAATATAATTTAAAAGTAATATAGAAAAGTAATGACAATCTTGCGTTTCGCGGGTTTTCTCCGTGTTCAAATCCATTCTTGGAATGCCAACGTTTCGTGAACCTTGCAGTCCACTTCATCAGGGCGAGG